CAAAAAGTATGTCAATGTACGCATAGGTACGCTGTACACTATACTGACTATACAGTGACTATACTGTATACAAACAAGTGAGAAGTACTGAAGTACTGAAGAAAAGGATACAGGCAGTGGCAGCGGCAGTCCCTCCATTGAGAGCCCAACCCATCGACCACATGTCCGACGGCCAAGCATACGGTTTTTCCTGACACCAAGCAGAGGTAGAGTCATTCTCAGTTTGCATACGCTTCAGTACATTGAATATATTGATCCTGAATCTCCTCAAAACCTCGGTTCCTACAATGTATCAAACAGCTCACAACTCGTGATAACCTGAGCTCACTCAGAGGAATCGTCCCGGCTTGCCTGACAAACTTCCGGGCTAAGGTAGTATGGAGTACCTTAGCGCAAAGGTCTGCTTGGCGCAGAGTCAAACTACTCAATTACTCGTTTGCGCCCTGGGAATGAGGCTGTTTAGAAAAGTGTCATGGGTCTGGGCTGATTCAAGCTGATTTCAGACAACAGCCACCCCTAACCAGCACTCTCTTCCGCACTCTCTTCCACCCAAGGAGGCGGCCAATCCGGGTCTTGGCAAATGCTATTGTGCAAGCCTCAATAAAGCAGGAAAACTGCAGAGTGTGAATTCATCTACGCAATGCATCGTAGTGCAATGTTTGCAGCATAACATGCATAAGGCACAGTAGGCTGCCCTGCCATGGATTTTGCAATACCGAAGTCTCCCATCTTCAAAGACCTGGAAGCGGGGCATCTGGAAGACTAGCAATGAAATTTGCAAAAAAATGATAGGATATCTCACCATATCTCACCATTGGAAGAGGCAAGGCGACCATGGTTATCCAAAACGGTTCATAGCTCATACAAAACCCAAGTCTGCTAAGTGATGGCAGAGACCAAAGACCAGACTTGGCAAAGGGATGAGGCAAATGCAGAACGATTGGCATTGACTTGGCCGCCGCGCCCAGTCTTTGTCAGGAAGAAATTGGCTGGTTTCAGATCCTGCCACGTCAATGCAGTAGGGAGTGTTTTTTTTAGGTGCATAGATGTGCATAGCAAATAGAATGCCTACGTTTGATCAGCATTTAAATTCCATCAAAATTCCTCTGGTCCCATGACTTCCCTCAAATTTTTGAGTGATGTTCGGGTGACACAAGAGGAAGGCAAGAATCACTATCGATAGTACTTTGAGTCAATTTGAGCAGTGGGCAGTTATCAAACGAGCAGCTTTTGTCATCACTTCAATATGTTTCTTCTGTCAAATAGTTAAATAGTTACAAGATGTTACAAGAAAAAACTTCAGCTCAAGGAGCTTGCAGAAGCTTGCGGGCCCTGACCCTGTGAAGGATGTGCTTGTCATGGATGTACTTGAGCGATAGCATCGCCTGCCGAAGCTCTGAGAACTTCCAGAAGCATGAAATACAGGGCTGTGTTCTTCATTTTCGCACGTTGGGATTGAGAGTCCACCACCACAAAAAGAATGCTCGGATATGCTCGGTATGTCAGTACGACGTCAGTACGAGTACATCTTTCGAATTGGAATCCAATTTCTTGATCCGTGCACATTAAATACATTAAGCACCCAAAGATCGATATTGACCAATTTCTTGAGACCCATAAGTGGAACTCTCTCGAGGATTCACGGCCACCTGCGTAAACCACCGGAGTATCTGCTCTTCCGGGATCCTGGCACACCACATGGCACCAGGCAGAGTCACTGTCTCCAACTCCAAAGTCTGCACTTAAAGTGATTTGGATCACTGGATGGGTTTCCAAACAATTCATCTCCAAAGTAACCAATGAAAAACTGTGCATCATATAGTATCATTCAAAATTGCTAGCTTCCAAGCCATGAAATCAACCATACAGATAACGAAAATGGCGCACCTCTGATGGTTTCGCCTCGCTCGGCGGATCTGCTTGGCAAGCTCACCGCCTGGACTTCCAGAAGTCTTGTCGAATCACCGCGATTATACAGCTTATACATCTAAAATGATGTGAACACAGTGAACACACCTCTCCCCAAGTCCCTCTAACCTGCCGAATGAAAGGAATCCGTTCATGACCAATCTGCAAGTGGCAACAGGTGTGCTCTGTAGGTCTGTTGGAATTTTCTTGGAATATGGCTGCGTGAGATATGGTCATCCCACCATAGGGATTCCATGTAATGGCTATATTAACCGTATTAACCCCCATTGGGGGATGACCATCTGCATGGGACAAGGATCCATGTTTGACCATGGCACGAAGAGGTGAAAGAACATGAAAGACTTAGTGACCTGTTGCATTTCTCCCCGGCCTTCACAAAAGTCCATGATCAAACACAGCACACCAGCCTGGCCGCGAATGGAAGGCTGAGCTGTGACTAGCTAAGCCGCTAAGCTTCTCCCGCAGCAACTCTGTGGCCACAGCTCAGCACGCCTCACAAAAGCTGTCACGGTATCGCACCACGAAGGGATGTTGCAGCGATGCGAGCAGTCTGCCCTCCTGTGCCAGGATCCCGCCGGAAAATCATCAAGGATCCCGCCCGAAGAGAAGCAGATGAGAATATGTGAGAATATCATGGAATATCACCAACAAACAAGGTGGTAAACCAACTGTCACAACTGTCCTGTAGGGATATACGAACAAAATATATGAGCAGCGACAGTTAAGGGAATCCCCTCTGACATCCGTCATCGTCTGTCCTTTGCTGCATCTTCCGCCTGCAAAGTCACTCACTAGTTATCTAATTGGAAGGGAAACATAAGATTTGGAGGTCCGGGGGTCCATGCAACACAACATGAGGGACAACTACAGATGTTGGAGAATTAGCGGATACTCAAAACCACAATAGCTTCACCCCTCGCGAACTTCATCAAACCTGAGACAGGCATTCCCAATGCTGTTCAAACCAGCCTCTTTTTTGGATGCTTCGCTAATGTCCATGACCTGTCAGGAGACAATGCCAGCTTAAAGAGGGAAGAAGTTTCTCTGTCCAATCTATCGTGGAAACGCATTGCTGGTGTGTATCCTCGGGTTGTCAAGCCACGAATCCCACTTGCCCCAGCTGTTCCCCACCCTGTAAGCGCCTTGCAAACAGCTTGAGTGCCATCAGACGCCTCTACGAGCAGAGCCTTCGCGAAGGAGCCTTCCCCTGAGCATCGATGAAGGTTGCAGCAAAGGCGGACTCAGGTTGGTCGACAGGAAGTGCTGGACTAAACTGACTCTCTCAGTAGTACAGGTTACGACATCAGGACAAGGTCTTTACTCATCAAGACCCCCTGTATCTGTTCCATGTTACATTGGCATACCTGTTGCACACCAACAACGCCCCGGGCTGTGTCCTGCCTATCTGTTTCACTTCCCTCCATCCTCGCGCAGCCAACACGTTCTCGACGTCCTGGAGAGGTTCTGAATCTACTAACCCACCACCTTTGCACCTCACCACACCACCACAACGAAGGAGGCAGTATACATAAAATCACTAACCAATGAAAAATACAGTTTCTAATATGTTCTAAGATCCAAAAAAGAAAACAAAACATGGCGCAAAAATGCAGAAATATTTTGAAGATTCGGTGCAGAAGATGAACCTCCAGTCCTCGCGGGCATACACCATTGATGTCACAAGCCCCACTAGGTAAGGCTCGGACCCCAAACCCTAACGTTTCTGAGCCAAATGGAGGTCCATGGACAATAGAAACGATGGTGATACTATTTTTACAGGTAAATCCGTATGACATCATGATTGTTATAGATACATGGGTATATGTGAATAAACATATATATATATACACACCTTACCATTCATAGAAATATGTTACTATCTGTATATATGACACAATATGTATATATCCGCATGTTGATGGGTCTTACGTGCTAGGAGTATTGTAGTCTCTTTGCGCGACAAAGAGAAACTTGAAGGCCAATTGAAGCAGCCTTATTTCACACAGGCTGTTCTGGCTGCAAACTATATGACTATTTCATTTTCAGTGCTTTTCAGGCGACTAAAACGCTGGTTTCTCAGAAGCTCTGTGGAAATTTCCAGAACTTCTGAGGCACGTCCACCACGTCAGTTGCTGGTCACGTCCGCCCGTTTTGGGCACCGTAACTTGCGTCCCCCCTGCCATGCACGAGCATCTTCGAGCAGGCTCCATTGACAATGAGGGAAACGCTTTTGATTTTTTGAGCTCCTTGAAGATTCAGAGATTCTTGGTCTTGCACCTGAAAAACTATCAGGCTCAGCGTTGTTTGCGAAAAAGTGTACCAGCTTCCATCAGTCAAGTCAAGAGGTGCCACAAAGACAGACCTAGTATAGACGTATTGGAATACATTGTCATTTATACAATCATAATCTACAGTTCACAGATGTTTAGTGGGACTTGACCCGCAAATGTAATCAAATTATCTATACATACATACATTACATTCCATTCCATTCCATTCCATTCCATTACATTACATACATACATACATACATTACAGACATACATTACTTACATACATACATACATACATGCATGCATGCATGCATGCATGCATTACATTACATTACATTACATTGCATTGCATTGCATTGCATTGCATTGCATTGCATTACATTACATTACATTACATTACATACATTACATTACATTACATTACATTACATTACATTACATTACATTACATTAATACATTAATACATACATAGATACATAGATACATAGATACATACATACATACATACATACATACATACATACATACATACATACATACCTACGTACCTACGTACCTACGTACATACATACATACATACCTACGTACCTACGTACCTACGTACATACATACATACATACATACCTACGTACATACATACATTACATTACATTACATTACATTACATTACATTACATTACATTACATTACATTACATACATATATATATATATATATTATGATTATAAAATATCATTTGATCATAAAATGTTCAAATATCCATGTTCGCTTCCAGCAGCCCAGCCTGGTCTCACCCCTCACAACTCCGTTCGCACAGGCAGCGCAGCTCGAGACGACAGCTCGCCAAGGATGGCCTGGCGCTTTGGCGAGCGCTGCGGACAAAAAGGATGGCATAAGGACGACCAATGGACTCTAAATGAACCCCCAAAATCGGTCAATGTTAGATGATTCTTAGATTTTGTTATTGGTTCAACTGACTTTTACCATCCAATTTCGGTGTGTGATTCATCATTTTGAGCCGCTGTAGCCTCCCCCAGCTTTCGAAGTTCTTTGGTCTTCATCTTTGGCAAAGTTTTGAGCACCTTGGAGATGGATCAGGTTCTGCAACGGCAGTTACGGCAGTCGTTCGATTCTGTCCAGCCTCGTCCACCTTGACCTCTGCTTCAGCCGTCGAGACCGGTTCTCCTGGAGCAAAACCAACCACTCCCACTCTCAATCAAACAGAATCAAACAAAGGAGTGGTTCATCACGGAAAATCATTGAATCAAACAATGTCCATCCACAGATCGCCGTGGTGTTTCAATCGTCTCTGTCCTGTAGCTTTGGGGAGCTTCGCCGGTTTGGTTGTGGGCATCGGCTTTGCTTTGGCCGACTCTTTTTGCACCTGACAACTGGGAAGGATGGTCGCAGGCATTGCAGGCGCAGCTTTGTCAAAGAGAAGCACTCAGTCTACTCATGTCTGATCTACTTTCTGAACATGTCTGAACCGTTCTGAATCCTTCTTGTTTCAAACTCTAGGACTTTGCCAAGACAAAAAGTTTTAATTAAATTAAAGCTTTATCCATTGGCAGCTTGGCCTTCTCCTCTGACGGGCTCCTGAGGATCCAGGGAGCAGGTGGTCTGTGGCAAATTCACTGCCTGGCACCATATGCCTGACTTCCAGGAGAATAAATATGAAGCTGTCGCCCAAAAGAGATTAAAAGATTTGGCTTTGTCCAAAATGGGGAACCCAGTAATACAATGGTTTATCATGTTTATATAATTCATATATCTTTATCATATTTTCTCGTTCAATTGGCACTTTTATCCCCGATTTTTGGACAATCCCACTTTGCTCACTGCCGTCAGTGCCGCTATTCCTTGGAGATCGTGAAGCTTTGGGCTTTCTTGGCGTCTTGGACTGCGCCTCGGCAGAGCTGAATATCTTGGGACAGCTCAAAACAATGGGTCACTTTGGTCACTTTTATCACTTTCCATGCTGAGCTGCAGGCTCCTGTGCCACTTGCAGAGGATTGACATTCAGCTTGGCAAATCTCTGTGTGGTTCACTTGCCTGAGCCAGATCTTCTCAGGAAACCCAGCCCAGCATGATCATGAAGACCAGCAACACCGATGCCAGTAGTAGAAACACAAACCATCACAAACCTGCAATCTGAAAATATCCGAAAATGTGTAAAATACGTGGAAAATGATTCGAAAGCATTAGTGTTTCTTCTCAGGCCGCGCACCTGTCGTCCCAGAAACGTTTTTGCAGCTCCTCCTGTATTGCAACGGCGACTGAAATGAACTGAATGTAGCTGAATGTTGACAGAAAATGCCGGAAAGTTCATGCCTTGAGACTCCTTGAGACATCAAATGAGCAAAGACTATCAAAGATGGTCCAGTACTGTTAAAGATCCAAATTTCAATTGCAACCCGTGCCCTCACTGGCCAGTCCTCGCCAAACTCCTCCACAAACATCTTGCAGTAGGAGGCCAGCCGCTTGTCATAGTCCTTGGGATGCACACAGGTCGGTGTTGTTGCACCAACCCTCTGGTCTTTCTTCTTTGTCGAGTTCGAGAAAACTCCAGTGCATACAACATCCTACAGCGTGTCAAAACATCATCAAAACACTAAATTGGTAGAAAAGTTATACTCACCTGACTTCGTGGTGGGAAGTGATGCTGCGGTGTTCGCAGCAGCATCACATGACACGTTTGTTCTCACATCAGCGAGTTCTCTTCTATTTCCCTCATCATTTGTTCGTTCGCTTGTTCGGGTTCATTCATTGCATTCTCACTCTTTGGGCATGAAATGGAGGCAAGTTTTCTAGGGCTTTCTTTGCAATTGAATTTAGTACACCTGGCATTCAAAGAGTTGCAAAATCAGCCACCAGCCCCAAAACTTTCCAGGCTGGGAGCATGTTTCAGATGCATTCTAGGGGCCCAGCTCCCATGCCCATTTGACCAAAGCCCTGTCCAGGGATGTGGTCGCTGACCCCAGGGCCGAAGAGATACTTCTTCCCCTGACAAGTTGCTGGATGGACAAACAAACCTCCCAAGAAGTAAGTCTTTTGGAGTTTAGAGAAATTGAATCGAGGTTGGCAGATGCAAGCTGACATCAATCTATTTGCCTACCCCTTTGAAATCCTTTGAAGGAAGATTACAGAAGATTCAGATTGCTTGCAACTGATTTGATGCAGGGGGGTCCGGTTCCGCAAATCTCCTATGTCTTGTGCCGAAAGACCTCGTGCTGCTTGACGCCATACCTCAGAGACTGTGAAATGGTTTGTTGATCGGATTTTGAAAAAACACCATTCATCAAATTTGCAAGAGTAAGAACAGCCTGCAAGACACATCTGCATTGGATACATCTACGAAAGCGACTGTTGGCACTTGAAACCTACATCCACAGGACTCTCCACGATAAGTCGAGCAACTCCTCCTTGGTGAAAATCGTGTCGCACACCTGCGAAAGATGTCGGAAAGCGCCCGCTTGGACGTTAAAATAAAGCGAAGTGCTACTTTACCCGTCTTGCTGAGATGAGATGAGTATGTCAAAAAACAAGAATGTATTCCTTGCTGTTTAGAGCATCCAACCCTTGTGGTATTTGACGGCTGGCATCCCATGATCACCCTCAAGCAGTGCTGAACAAGGCGTATGAACTTTGAAACCATCCCAATCGGTCGTGCATCAAGGAACCCACAGAATCGGGCCTCATCAATGATCTCCTCAGTTTCATCTCTATCTTGTCTGATCAGCATGGTTCTACTGCAACGCTGCCAGGTTTGAGAAAGAATCAAGATAATCAAGTTGATATAAGTTGGTTGCCTTGTGTCGACCCTTGTGCTCAGTGCTCACCCAAAACAACATATCCCAAGCAGAACGTCTGGGGCCGAGATGCCAAGAACTCGTAGCTGGCGACACTGGCCCGGCGCAGCAGCTGTTTCTCAATCAGTGTCCTCCGCTGCCGAAATCCCATCTGAAGATCGGCGATATGTCTAGGTGTCACTAGGTTTCATGGATAAAGACAATGACGATGGTCCTCTTATGTCTTCAATGTGTTTGTTGGCGACACGAGGTGTTGCTGTGTATACTCTGCAAGTATTCCTTGAGCAACAGATCATGTTATGATATGTCATGCATGTATTTGCATTTGCCTTCACAATTTGCACTCCGCGTTCAATTTCTCCATCACCTTCCCCCAAAAGTGATTCTGGCTGGGTGCCCAAGACCCTTTGCAATCAACCTTAAGTAACCAATCCATTATACATGAGGCAAAGGGAAATCAGCTGGAAGGGATGCCCTCTCTCAGGTCCTGTTGATCTTGAAGAATGAGGCCTCAGCTGCATTCTTCAGCTATAAATCCAAAATCGGGGACATCAAACAGAACACCTGCCACTAGTGACTAGGAAAGAAAGTTCACAAGCCAACAAGATCACATTCTTTTGATCTGAATGTTTTGAGACTCTTGTTCTTCCGGATCCCTCACGAACTATTAGGTTGGCATTGAGCTTAAGGCAGAGCAAGCATCGCATCGAAACCACATGAAGTCATCATCCTGCGCCTGCAGCTCAAAGGGTCCAATAGCCAGGCCACATGTTGAGAAAAACAAAACACCACTTTAGTTAACCCCAAAGCTGGTTTGGCCAGTATCCAAAAAAAAACTCGAAGCCGAAAAGTTACTGACATCCATTTCGTGATTGCTGACATGACTGAATCGCACAGTCCGGAACGTGGTTGTACTTTTCTATGTAATATTGTTTATATGCATACAATCTTATAAAGATATTGTACCGTACATATAAATAAATTTCCACAACATTTTTTTTTGTGTGGGAGCATATTCGATTATACCAGGCTTCAGCAACCACGGCTCAAAAGCAACGGTATAGCAACCAAAATACTTTGATTTCAGAAACTACGGAGCAACTACGGCTCAGTAACCAAAACATCTTTTCGCTTTAGCAACTACACTTGAAACTAAACATTTGTCACCGTTTAAAGTCATTATTAACTACTTCCCCCTTCATTCGGCTTATTTTTGCATTTATTTGGATTGGTTTATGGTCCATTTGGGTTTGGTGGTTAGGATTAATCTCGGGTTTATTTAGGGTTTATTTAGAGTTGGTTTAGGGTTGGATTAGGGTTGTTTAGGGTTTTGGCTTAGGGTTTTGGCTTAGCATAGTTTCCTCTTCAGCAGGGGTCAAGCCGGACATTTTGGTGACGGTATCCCTTCTACCACCTGGGTGTTCTCTGAGAAAAGATCCTAGGGGCTCAACCTTGGAGGCCACCAAGAGCAGTAAAAAGACTCCTTAGCGCAGCGACTCTCACCATGCACCACCAAACTTGTGGAACCTTCCTGGGGAGTACGTATCATGTATTCAGTGTATTCATGGTTTGAGTCATGATGAGATGCACACCGAATCTCTGCTTTATACATATTCATACAGATACGGCTCAGATACATATTCATACATTGTTTATACTACACATATTGCCACATCGGTTGGAAGCAGATCAAAGGAAGCATCATCAACCATTTCCAGACATTGAATCCCAAATAAATGAGGTTCCGGCTATACATGCCGCATCCTGAACTGGGCTCTAAGAAGAGGCATGTACCTTGCCTAGAAAGCTGGCGTCTGCTGATTGTGCCAAAGTTGTCGCGGAAGTTCTTAGCCTACGTATCTTGAACCAATCGACCCTTCCGATACTTCAGTTTCAAAAGTCCATGCTGTGCCCCAAAGAGAGGCAAGTGAGGCAAATAGCTGCAGCCAATGGTTGGAGGATGCACCATGTGGCTTTCAAGGGATGGATGTGACATGGCCAGAATAGAATATGAAATTACATCGGTTCCCTTCGAAATAATGGCTAGATCATCCGAACAGTGGCAAAAGACAAGCTTTTTGGGCGCCGCAAAAAAAAAATCTGCGGACTGTGCTTCTTCAGCTACCGTCCAAGGAATCGTGGTTCGATCAGGTCTACAGCTGCAGGGAGGATCGTGCTATGTCCAATCTATCCGTGAAAGACACTTCATCTGTCGAATCTTTGATGCGCCACCTGACAGCTGTATTCTCTGCCATCCCCGAAAATCCTACATGGTCCTACAGAGATGTCCACTGAAACAAGATCTGTTTCGAATGAAAAGATCTCTGGTCCATCTCAAGGGTTGGGAGCTCCAAGGCAAAACCTTTGGCCTTTCGAAAAAAGTGAAACAGTGCTGCATTGGCAGCACTCCGCGCGGTTGTCTACTGCTGTCCTTGGTCACGACTTGGCCACTATCACATTGTCTGATCTCTAGGAACTCTACGGACTATCCATTACTGTTGACTAAATGCCAGGCAGTGCTAGCTGCGCTCAAACGTGCAGACAACTCACTGCGTAAGTTCACGCGACAGTCCTCCAGCACAGAAGTAATGAGTTTACCAACCGTTTGCATGCTGACATATGCTGACTCTTCCAACATGTCCCGCTCTTCCTTCGCCATCCTTTCAAGTCCTTTGCCCATGCAGATTCACCTCTCAGCGACAACTTCCCGGTGTCCTTGCCATCCGCTGAAAGTTTGCCCTGCCCTCATGCTACGCCTTCGAGCAGCTTCAGAATCTCCGACGGCCCTTGCATTGCTAGCAGCCTTGGTGATGCTGACAGACAGTGACAAACAGTTCCTGGGAGTTCCTCCTATTTTCTGATTCACCTTCTCAAGGGGCTCATCACTATCTAAGCAGGACGAGATTATATTATAGTTAAACAAATTTGAAGCATGTTCAAGCATTTTGAAACTCTAGAGAAAATGGAAACATGCTGGCTCCTGTCAAAAGCATGCAGTTTGTTCACAAATCGGCCTCAAACATGGCCCTAACATGCATCTAGGGCACCAAAAACGGGTGATAGCTCCAATGCAGCAACGATGGCCAACGCCCATCGCGGGTGGAAGCCACAAAACGACTTCTCTCCCTGGGCAGATTGCCATTTTACCCGCTGGAAGTGCCAAATGACAGTCCCGGCTGCAAGGCATTGCACTCAGGTACAAAGTGTGTCTTGAAATCTGTCATTGTTTGCATTTGTATCCCCCCCCTTTAAGGGGGGGGGTGGGGGGAGATAAAACTGAAATATTTCACTTTAGGGGGGGTCTCCCCCCCCCACACCTAGAATTTTTTCACCTCCCTAAAGTGAAATATTTCAGCTAAGAAAATTCTGGTCTATAATGGTCTCTGGGCGTGGTTGAATTCAAGGCTGAATGTCATGTTCTGAAGGCTGTTTGGCAAGTTCACTCTCTTATTTACTTTCTTGGAAACCGGCAGTTACCATTTACTTAGTTGTGTGTTTGCGCGTGGACCCTACCCGCGTAAGGACTAAAAAGGTCCAAAAAGGAACAGCGTCGGCGTGTAGAAGACGCGCGCTCGTTTTACGCAAAATGAAAGGGCGTGTCATACCATCTCTTGGCTAAAATGTGCCATCCGGAGAACCCCCCCCCACGTTTTTTCGAAGCCCAAAAAACACGTGGGGGGGGTATATTTCACGTGGTCAGGTGAAATATTTCTCAGAAATTTCTTGCCTTACCCCTCCCCCCAAATATTCCAGGGTTAAAGGGGGGGGATGCATTTGTTTACCATATTCATACCTTCTAACAACTGGAATTTATGAAAACATGCTGGAAGAATAGGCAACATAGCTACGCAAACAGCATCAAACAGCATTGTACAATTCTACGTTTGTTTCACGCAGTTCCTGTGACCCCAATTCATCCCACGGCACCTGCTACTTCTGGAACTTCGGACAGATGTTGAGGCCTGGGTAGAGTGCTTATGTCGCATTTGCTTGCGTCAAAATGCAGAAGTTGTCGTTTTTGCCTTCTAGACAGCCGCGCGATAATGATTGAAACTTTGCAACCCGATTTCAAACCCATGTGCAATCATCTTGTCAGCCAAGAAAGAAGGACGTTAGAATAAGCTATCATTCTGAATCATTCTATTACAATCTGTGAATCCCACTCCTTCAAAAGTTGAAAAACATTGGAAACAAAAAAAGCTCAGGTCTATCGTGTATGTGTCGAAACAAGAAGCTGGAGAGCAATCATTCAGCTGAGTCTCGGATTGGATGCTGTGCGCAGCCATAGCAATGTCTTTGCAGTCCTCATCTTTGCGAAGCTGGTCCTCGGTGTCAAGGCCACCATGCCACCAAACAATGGCATCGACTTGGAGAACCACGAGGTGGTTTTGAAGGCAGCCATACTGGTAGCCAGGATATTCCTGCCGGTGATTGATTGCTCAAAACTGTTCAAACCAGAAACCATAGCTCCGTCTATTTCGCTGTACAAAGCAGTCACTGCCCAGTTTCCAACCGCTTTACCATCTGCTCCACCTCCTTCTAACAATCATTTGAAGTACAGTCCCAGCCAGTTTGGGAACATTCATGAAACAGCACTGTGCTTTTTCTACAGTACTTTGTTTCTCCACAGCCGGAGAAAATTTTGAGAGCACGCCGACATCAAAATTCTTGCTGCATTGAAGAGTCATCGGCAAAGAGGAGAGCTGCCCCATCCCGTTGGCATGCTTCAAGCACAAGCTCCTCGTCACATGAATTGATGGCTCCGAGGAAACGACAGTCAGCTGAATGTAAAGTAGACATATAACCTGGGGCCTTCACTTCAAAGCCTGATGATGCATCTGTTTACAGTACTACACACTTGCATTCTTCACGTCTACTCACATACAAAATGCAAACAAACATTGAACAATATTGAACAAACCACATAAGTAGATGTAAAAAGCACAAAAGTGCAATGCTCCAAATGCCAGCCTTGTCACGCCGCAGTCTGGGTGAAGCAAAGTGAAGTGCAAGACCGTTTTGCTGAACCGCAGCAGAAACGACGTCGCGATCAGCTTGCAAGGCCTCTGCTGAGATCACAAGGCATACCCCGCTTCTAGTTATGCAAAATGTTAAAATGTCAAAGTCACACCCCACACCCACTGCCTGTCGTCACTGTAGGACTTATATAAAGGCTTCAAAACTGCTCAATGATTTGCCGCAGCCTTCCCCACGTACTTCAGAGCTTGCCCAGCACTGGCAACAGCCGCAAGCACCACTTCTTTGTCGTTTTTGAAGCGATCCTCAGAACAGAGGTCACTGCCATATCCGGGAATGTTTTCCGAAATGGCAAAAACCCTGCCAGGATAAAATACGCCAACCCTCCGGGACTGATTGGAACACCACCCAAAGTAATGTACACCAAGTCTCGGAAATGTTATAGATACAGTATATGATGACTATTCTTTCTTGACCCTGAAGGTGGCCTCTGCATCCCACATTGAAAATCTTAAAGGTACAAATCTAAAATCCTCTCAAAGCAGTGAGTTGGGTGAGTGAGGCATGCATGTGATTTATATGGATGAGAGATCTAGATGAGATGTGCAAGTGAAATGTACCTCTGTGTGTGTGTGCAAGACATGGAATTCACATGTGTAAATAAGATGTTTTTAAAAGACTTGTATATGAGATGCGTAAGTCAGATAAGGGCTCAGATGTGTAAGTCAAATATATGTTTGCAAGATATGTACGTGAGATGAGACATCTAAGGGGCTTGCGTAAGTGAGAAGAGTTGTATGTATATTAGATATATGTATATGTATATGTATATACATATATATATATATGCAACTCAAAAGATTGCTATGCTCCATTTCCTTTGATGACACAACATGGGTAGCAATCTGCACCTGCTTCAACCATCCCACACAAACGCCACCATCTTGCAAGGTTCTGGTGCCCACTGCAGGGCGATGCCATTTGCAGTCACAGCTGCCAACGCCACCTCTCTGGGACGGATTATTTCACGCCTATCATGCCAAATATATGCAGATATCAACAGGCAACTACCAAGGCCAACTTGAAAATTGCATCACAGCAAAACCAAGGGCAGAACCAAGTGCAAAACCAAGTGGGAAACCATTGAAATCAGTTTGGATTCAAACCGCTCGGAACCAAACTTAAAGCCTTAAAGCACCAATCTCAAAATTCTGACCCTTTGCAGCCAACGGCCTCTCGTTTCTTTCGGTCCAAGTCATCCAGACCAGCCAAAGCAGAGCTGCGGGCCCTGACACGCGCCAGCAGCGCTGCACGGCGCACCTGAGGCCCTTCCTGTCGAAAGTCTGATCTGGAAAGGTCATGGTTCTGGTGAATTTCACAGGATTGAACAGGAATTGAACAGGGGAACCAACCAGTCGAACACTTGTCCTGCGCTTGGGGAATCCAACTTGGACAGTCCCATGCACGCAACAAGACACTCACAGCAGCTAGACTTATACAGGTCCTTGACCAGATTGGGCAAGGGTGGCAGCACACTTCGCATGGCCGGCGAATGTGGCATTGCAGCAAGAAAGGTTCAGTGTAAGAAAGCATCTGGTTCTACGGAACAAACATGAGCATTGGTGTAGAGCATGATTCCTTGATCCATGACCATGACAGCACTGCTCAAGTCTTGCTACCTAGTAGGTGATGGAGAAAGGACTGGAACTCATCCTATCTTGTAGCCATCTCTTCTACTAGCAACCACTTGTACTTATGAGTGCCTTTTGTTTACTTGCATCTATTATACAACTATTATTGATACTTGTCTATGTAAATGTATGGTCTGCCATATGCTTTCTCGCACATAATTCAGACTCATGCTGCTGAAGGAATCCTTGAGGACAAACTTCATCCAGGAAAACTGGCGAACAGAGTTTCTGCGTGCCATGAGTGCCAACCCCTCTTTCTCGGAATTTGCTGTTCGTTGGCTGGAAACAGGGTGCTTCGACTCACACTGTGTTTGCCATTGAATCTCTCGACAAGGTGAATTGGAGCCTGAGAGTTGAGTCAATGTTGCCAAGTCATGCCTTGTCTTTTCACACACACACACTTTCTACATCTTTCTACAAATGATTTTCACCCAGAGCGTGCAAAACACGACTCACTGGAGGAAGTTGGCCCGGAAGACCGCCAAGATCTGAATCGCTGCCAGCATATGGCCATGTGACCACCATTGAACACTACGGAATTCGCAGTGCAGAACGCCAGGTCATGCCGCAGGTACGATATATAAGTGATATATATATAATCTAAAGTAATGGTCCGTTCTCAACACCAGTTCTTCACTCTCTAGATATTTTTATAGAGGGCTTTGAAATCCCTAGCTGCAAAGTACATGGCCAGTGACATAAAGGTCAAGAATTGTCAGGAATCAGGACTCTCAGATTGCCAGGCTATCAAGAAAATATAAGAAAATATTTTCCACCACTGCTAGACTTAGCTGACAGAATTGATCTCATGCCAGTTTCAGAAGTTTCAAGTCTTCGGCCCAGCCCTATTCTGGGGACACCACCCGTACGACACATCGAACCAAGACATACACCAGAACAAAGGCCAAAATCCCTTCGGGCGGATCCCAGTTGGCTAATTGCAGCTTGACAGGTCTGGGCACAGAAATATTTCATGTACAGCCTGGATCAAGATTGAAAAAGCCCAGAACCATATGAACCAGAGAACCAGATGAACCAGTTACAGTTTTCCACTTACTCCAGGTTTCTTGCACGCCAATGGACAGGCCTCGCCAAGAAATCAGCCAGTTCTCCTCCTGTGGAGCAAGCAAGATACCAGGGATCTCAGTGAATTCCAGTTAAAACCGATCTTGGGACATTCCATTCCCATACTATGATTGAAAAGTATTGAAAATATTGAAACATCTCCCTTCACGGAGTCACCAGGCCTCCGACTGCGCCTGGGACCGATCCCTTCGCTCTCGCCGGTGTTGCTTCGCAAGCGCCGACGCCTCACAGTCGTGGAGGGGATGTTGAGGCAGCCCATGGGTTGGACACATCTACCTGGCTTGGATGTGCGCAAAAGAACTCAACCCAACGCAAGGAATCGAAGGTGGGTATTAGTGCACGGAGATGCGGTGCGCAGTCGATTGGTTGCTTAGTTCGTCAATTTGCTGCGTCAAGGTCATTCTTGACGTGCTCTGGTGCAGTGGTGGCCTTTGAAGCATGTCTGAGATGTCAAGTTGAAAGAAAGAGATGTCGAGGAACGAGTACACATGAAGCGGATATGATGTTCTTGGATGCCACTTTGGCCAAGAAGACAGCGCCTGTTCCTGCGCATAATCTCGCCGTGGCCGCCGGCGGTTGATTTGGACCTGACAAACACACAATGTCGGAAGCATTGTCATTTCAAAGAACTCCAGTCATGCACAGCCAAGACCAGCCTTGCTCTCAGCTGGGGTTGGCTCCTGAATGCCAGCAGTTTCTCGCCATGACCAACCTGTCAATGGCAGTGCCAGCGCTTTGGCTGTGGATTATTTGAGAGCATAGGTCCACCAACCAGGCAAGGTTGACGGCCAAGCATAGGTCCACCAACCCTGCGGAAACTCAACCAACTGCACCAGCTGTTCCCAGGGAAGCGTTTCAGAGGAGACTTCCAAACATGGCACCAGGGCCTTATGTCTTCGATTTGAATCTGAAACCACCAACCGCTCCTGTTGCCCACAAGAATGGTGCAGCCACGATCCAAAGTACCTTCGTGCAGGGGTTCTGCCAAAGGCGCAAATGTCAATCAGAAGGGGGGAAAAAAGGCTGAGCAGTGGCGGACAATCAATGAGCCTTCAATCTTGGCCATGGTGGATTGAACAAATACACTCAACCAAAAGGGCTTCCAATCACATCACCCAAGGCATTAATGATTTTGATTGCGAAGAATGACAAATTGCTGCTTTTGTTTGCAGTGCATCTAGCAAGTGAACATATGTGCCCACACCATTTGCGCGTAACGTTCCATGTCAAAAAGCAGAGGCAATTGAAACGCTGAGCTTCTATGGATTCTCGCTTGCTTTGACAGTTTTGAGTGCTGAGAATTTGCAGTTCTGCTGAAGGCCGAACGGAACTTCTTCAGCTGCCGCATTTTGGTCACCTTGGTAGACCTCAGCTGGATAAGTTGACAAGACCAAACAAAAAGAAAAAAGCGTGAATCATCCGTTCAAGAGACCTACAGCAGGCTGTGTGAGCCGCTCATTTGCAAGGAAAATCACGTGGGTCCATTGGTGCCAGATTCAATTCGCCCCTTCACAGATTTCATCCCATTTCTATCGCCCAAAGTCTTCTTGAATGGAGTGATGCTCTGACAAAGCAATCCTCTCTCATGAATCCTGGAAAAACTGCAAAAATATTGGCCATTTGCTTCTTAAACTCAAACACAAAAATGAAAAAGAGACGGAAAGGCATCGCGCTGTGGACCCGAAAGTGGAATGGTGGTTTCATGGTTCAATTCCAACAAAAAACAAACAAATCTTTGAGTTTCGGGCCATATACATCCATATACCAATATGTTTAATGATCCTAGGCCTAGTGCCTAGTCCCAGCCCCCCCCCATTTTTTCAATCAAGGCCCCAACGGCAAACAGCACACTTCAGCCACTGCACGATCGGGCCACAGGGAGACAGCAACCTTCTGCAAGCAATACAAACGTCGATTGTCCAGTGTGAACCATCGGTCCTCAGCTCCAAGGCGTGTCAAAATCAAAAAGCATGTAACAAATGTTACGGATATGTACGGATATGTATGATATGATATGATATGTATGTATACAAATTGTATCAAAAAAAATCAAATTGTAGCATGGACCAGCTAGTGAAGTTGATACTAATGCTGGCGTTCATGAGACTTGCAAGACATGCGCAGGATCAGGGTGGCATCTGTCCATGAAGAAATACAAACAGCTCAGTGTTCCACATCTGTCTTTTCCAACAGCAAGAAAGCGAAGCTTGATTCAAGCTTGATGAACTTGACGCGACAGTCCTCTGCATCGAGCAGCTCTCCTCCAGTCTGTGGGTCCACCAAGGGTCGACCTGACAAGGACCGGCATGGACCGGCTGCGCAGTTCAGAACATGGAAAGGTCATGAAAGGTCATAGTCCCAAGAAAACAAAGCGACAGCAGTACCACCGAATCTGCGGCCAGAAAGTCTGCCTGTCGCTTCATCGCGTAATTTGCATCGCCACTTCATGACCTCTCTCACAAGTCGCAGCCGCTATTCACACGGGTAAGTAGCTCAAAAAAGATCTGGATTGGAAGAAAAGGGATCCCTAATGCTCATTTCAAACAATGAAAGATGGGGCGTCTCATAAAAATACTATATATATATATTAAGTTTACAAAACCAGGCCGTGACCACCCTGCATTGCCTCGATGGGTGGAAATGGAGCCTTCAGTAGCCACACCTCAATCAGCACACAACGACATCTCGAAACTCTGACTGAACCAAGCCAGGCAAAAGAACCTTCAGAAATTTCCCTCTGCCTACAGGTGAATGTGGGCAGGTTTTTGTTTTCTTTCAGCTCGGCACAAGGATCATCAGTCAAACAGTTGGAGGAGAAAAAAAATGTTTCTTTAATTACCTCGGAGATTTGGGACCACCAATGTCTCCCTTGCCGTAGCTGTTTGAGACTCTGACAGGCTTATCTGCATCCTAAGCAACAGGCTGCATCTTCAAATCATTTCAAATATGCTGATATCGCCAGCTCAGTTTTTCATCGCCATCATCCCTGGGGGTTCCTCGCCTTGGGAGATGATCCACTCCAGGGCACTTTCTCGATTTCTTCGATAGCCTCACAAGGTGAAGCCGTTGTCGGCTGATGGTAGGGCCATGTCGGCCACGGCCTTGTCGAGAGATCGTCCGTCTCGAAAATGAGGATTCGCCCTCATCTGAGAAAAATGTACCTCCCAACAAATCCTTTCCTTCAATCTGGATCGAATGGAGTATGGCTTGGCAATGCCCCACCTGCATCCATGGACATCCGGACTCAGGAAAAAAAATGATCATGCCCCAGCGCACTTCCAATGGTGACATCTCTTCATTTGCCACGGCAACTCTCTGCCTCCACAGCCCCCCACTCAAGACACCCTCCACATCTCTGTACGCTTTCTCTGTTCCAAAAATACTACATACATCTAAGAAGCAAGACTTGGAATCTTAAAGACCAGCTTTAAATCCGCAAATCATCTTCAGCTCTTGATTTGGTGGTATAGGTCAAAACAGCACTGAAGCTGGATTCCCTCAAAATGTGATCCCTGATTCACATTTCATTCAAAAATCATGCAAAATCCGTTGAAATTAGATCCTTACCATCGGAAAAAACATTAAAGTTAGTCCTAAAGAAAAAAACTTAAACATCCTCTGAACCGTCAGCAAAAGAAACCATGAAAAAATCCATTTGTTGCCACGAAAAAAAAAAAACGGAAATCCCCTCCCACCAGGCCATGCGCTGGCCATGCGCCTGGAGCTCGCTGAGCCAGGCCTTGAGTCGTGCACGCCATCGGAGTCCTGTCTTGTTGCTGCCATTTGGGTGTCTAAGGTCCAAATGAGTCCATAAAAATGTGAAAA